TATGCAGTATTTCCCATGAAAACTGTTTTCTCGCTGTTTCTTTTTGTATTTTTCTTTCTTCTTAAGGAGAGACTCTTACTTTAGGATTTTTTTAAAAATCAGTTCTCAGCAGTTGCTTTCATTGCCTCACAAAGGCACCTTTCAGGTATATTACTCTCTATTGCATCTGATTGTCTGTTGAGCATTGTGAGGTTTAGGCTCCTACACCATCAGCCCAAGATTAAATATTTAACCTTCTTTCACCTAAAAATAGTATTGTAAGGAACTGATGCACAGTGAACATGACATAGCATTCTCACGTTTTCTCCACAATCCTAACAAGTTACTTCTTCTCCTTCATCATCACCATCTCTTCATGGCCATGGTCATTTAATTTATCTTCTATTGTGACCATATCTTACCTTCTCCCACTTTACTCACTGACAGTACCTTCTGATAAATCTCTATTTAACTTCCCAGGATGGAGTTTACACAGCATCAGTCCCAAACAGTAACTGAGAATGTAGGAAAAGTGAAAACTTGACTTAAGCATAGATGTTGATCCAAAGACTTATCTTGCTCAATTATTTGGGTAGGACTCTGAATCCAGGACAAACCACTGCAGATGAAAAGTTGGCAAGACTCCAGACTAAGAAAAATGGGAGATTTAACAACAATGGAGAGAACAATACACAAAAATCAGGAAGACTTGGACACAAGGCAGGTAAGGAAGCAGCTTGTTTTGGAGTACTGCTTCATCTCTACTCATACAGATAAGACATAGCAAATGACTACTTTAATTTTTTTCTTCGAGATACAGGTCCAGTGATACGATTGGTGGTTGGATCTGCTTTAGTGCAGCAAATTTACACATTTCTGGAAGTATTGTAACAAAAGAATAAATAGTGAAAACATATTCTTCCAGTCCTGTGTCAGGTGGTCATGTTCATCATTTGCAGTGTCTCTGTCCAGTAACGTGGGGCTTCTATTCCAGATGAAAACTCAAGAATTTCTTGAAACAGCAACTAACACTTTTTCATAATTTCCTCAAACTTTTTTCCTATTTGAGGCAGATCATTTACTTTCAGACTGATCCAGAATTGCTGGGTTTCTTTGGTGACACCTGAGTACCTGAAGACCCTCTCAAGATTATAGCATCCTTAACAGCATCAAAGTGAATCACAGAGGTAACCCAAAGTTACCGAAACATTTCTGAAGTATTTCAGAACTTTCAAATGCATTATTTAGATTATCCTTAAGTAATTTACTAAGCAGGACATGTGTGTACATGTGCCGGTGTGCACAGGTACAAGCTGAGAGGACCAAGGCTGAGGCCCAGAGAAAGCTTAAAGACCAGGTCAACTTTTACCTTTGAATATCTTCCATAATATTTGGAATATTTGTTACATAGAAAGTAATCAGAAATCTCAAAGCGGGAAGATAAAATACAAGTTGTTTTCTGACTTTTTAAATAGCAAACAAAATTATGACCATTTTATTTTCAATATTATAGTCTGTTAAAATCACCAAGGTTAGGGGTTTAGATGACATAGATCCACCCACAGTTAGCCTTAGGAACACATTTCTTATTCAAGCTCAGAAATGTTCCTGCATATTAAGCTGTCAGAGATCATCATTGTTTATGCACTGGCTGCTTTCCATAATAATCAGGCCCTTGTTCACTGTAGTAGAGATGAGACTAATGCCATGTTTTTCAGACATGTTCCTCCTCATAAACTGTGATTAGCTCTCCACAGCACAAGACCGTGCCCTATCAAATCACAGCATGAAAATTAGTTATTGAAGTCTGTATACAAACAAGAAATACAATGAAATTTTGTTTCTACTCTCAATAGTCTTTCCAACTCCACAGACATTTAATGTGCCCAGTATTTTTTAAACTATACTATTTATCACTGATACTTTCTGCTCAAATCCTTTTGGTTTATGCTTACACAACTCAGTTTATAGCACCAAAGCCTTACCTGAGTGGATGTCGATATCCTCATCACCAGTGCTCTCTGCACTTCTCAATTTATCACACTTACTGTTAGCAGCTATCAGTCTTAAATTCACAAACACATGCAAAACGCAAGAGCTACTTAATCCCATATCACTTATATTTAAACAGCCATTTCACAAATCCTGAAGAATAATGGAATTGTTTCAGACTTGGAAAGAAATGTCAGGGTCCTTCCTGCATTGTTCGGCTAAGAAAAGGAAGAGATTAAGTCATCTTAAGTGTATTATTAAAGCTTTAACCTCCATTTTTTCTCCAAAGAAGTCAGTTACGAAAGCTAAAGTGTAACAACAATTTCAGACCATCAGGGAGGGCAGCATATTTGGTTGAGCATCTGTGGAAGGGGATAATGCAGCCTTGCCATAGCTAGAAAGCTTTTGTGCACAGAATGGCACGAAGGAAGGCATATTTTTAAGAAGCAACAGAGAATCCGGTATCCATGACCAAACATCTCCAACGACCTTAATGGCCTGAGCAAATAGTTTTAATTCCAGCCTAGCCCATAGGTTAGAGATTTTTGTCCAACGCATACCTGGTATACAAGTATGATACCAGAGGTGATGTGTTTTGCTGCTCTAACCATTCCATACCTTACCAGGATAAAATCTAACTACTCCATTTTGGGGTATGTGAGCCAGTTTTGGTTGTCCAGTTAGATGATGCTTTCTATTGCTGTAGTTTCTAAAATCAGCAAATGAGGAACCATAAAACAAACAAAAAATCCTTTTACCAAGGTCATCAAGGATATAGGGAGTAAAGAACACAGTATGTGTACAGAAATACTCCCTTTACTCCAAACGGAGTAAAGAACACAGTATTAGTACAGAAGAGGGATTTTATTTTTTGAATGCTCTCAGACCTCTACAGTGCAAGAGAATTAAGGAGCTCAGCACTTTGCATTAGCAGGCCCTAGAACGAATAAATAGTTGCCAGCAAGAATAATAATAGTAACTTACAAACGTACATACTTCATAGATGTGGAAAGGATCCGAGAGAACAAAGACCACACCATGCAGAAATGGTGAAAATACTGAGTGACCACTTTCTGTCTTGGAGGCATCTTTCTTCTTGCCCTCACACTGCATTTGTATAAATATTATGTATTCATAGCTGAAAAAATCCATAGTCTGGGATGGAGAAAATAAGAGCAAGTCTAACACAATGCCTGTATAAAAATTAGATTTAATGAAGTACCTAGAGTGGATTTATTTCCTGATATTCTTCTGTGGTAATAAACCCATCTTCCTTAATACACTTGGAAACCAAACTGAAAAATGAAACCAGGAAATTTCTTGGCTGCCATCTACTGTTCAAAACTTTGCTGTATCACACAGAAGAATAAAAACAAACCAACCCAAACAGCACTCACTGACACCTCCAGATTTTCTTCTCTTCACTATTCTTGCTAAAACCAATGTCTTTGGACTGCTGTTACAGACCACTATATTTCTGTAAGGATCCTGTGTATATGCTCACCTTTAATTAGTATCAGGAAGAGGAATCATAAAAGCTGTTTTAGGGAAGAACACTGTAGTATTTTTAGTATTTCAGTGAAAAACTGTACTTGTTAAAGAAGTTTCTGCTAATTCACTAGAGCTCACTAAAGTGTGATTTCACTAAACAGCAATAAGTCTAGGACAGAGACTGAAAACAAAGTGCAAGAAGGCTGTCTGCATTCCTGTTTCTCCAGGCTTTGTCTTCCTATCAGGGTAAACCCTACAATGTATTTGTTTCTCTCTGTCTCTTGAGAGCTACCTAGATCCCTTTGTCCTTTACAGCTCCTCTGCCTTATCTCCTGCCTCTTTGCTGCCCGAAAAAAGCTACTATGATTTTGCAGATCTGATGTATGACAGGCTGAAATGAAAATGGAATGTTTTTCTTTATGGCCGACCTATGAGATGACTTGAAAATTAGGTTTAAAAGACGTAGGATGATAGAGATTGTCACAGTTTATCACTAAAGCTGAAGGGACTATCACCACAAAAAAGGAGAACCAAGAGTTTACTGAGAGACCTTAGGTCTGCAAGGGCAAAAATATCTGAAAGTGGATTCCTGGGTCAATTTCTGTTACTTACTTCCAGACTTCAGTCATATGGTTATAAATAGATGACTCATCCTAGCAAAATATACTGTGAGCCACTTAAGTCCTTCATCCAAGAGCATCTAGTAACCTTCTCTTTACCATTTAGTCCAAACCCACTCACAGCAGGTCCAACAAGTTCAGGCTGTTCAGGTCCTGTCCTGTCAGGGTTTGAACAGAATGAAGATGGCAAACCTCTTCCGGACAACCAATTCCAGTATTTTACCACCCCCAAGAGCCAACACATCTCCTACTCATTCACCTGCTTTGCTGTGTTTAAAAATGAACTTCTAAGATCCCCACTCAGAAATTCACAATACTATGTATATTACATATATAAACATGCATACATATATAGCATAATGAAGCTGACCACATCCATCTAGTTTCTAGAGAACAAACTGTTCCCTCTCACAAAAAGGTATCAGATGGTGAAATGGCTTCTCAAGGATGGTTGTAGAATATGACAACTTCAAATATAACATGTATTAAAAAATTGAACCTTTGCAGAAATGTGCTAAGAGATGATCTAGTTAATCACTTCAGCTTTCACAATGTCTTTTCTCTACTCTTTGGTTTCCTTTAGTATTTGTCAAAGTTTGGTGTGCTCTGCAAGGAGAGTAATACTGACTAGGAATCACCCTACTAGCAATCTGAAAGGTACGATACTCGGTGGCTGAGGAATGCAAGCAGGTCAGGGCTCATACTGTAATAAACAGAAGAAAATTAAAAAGAAGGAAAAGAAATTAAACAAAAGAACCCCCACACAGACCCTGAGTACAATAAAAAGCAGCAACAGAAGTGCATTATGGTTCACACACTGCACACCAAGTCATTTCGAAGCTTGTGGGCAGGGATGCAGCTATCTCTGTTCTGTATTTCCAGGGAGAGAATTTGGATGAAGTTGGTACTTCAGCCTACCTGGTTTAAAATGGGGTAAAGAGTGGACTCCAGGCCACGTATCTTCATTTGGTGTTCCAAGTACCTGTGCACAAAAGAAGAAAGAAACCACACTTTGCTTTAATGGAAAAGACTTAACAAGTCATAGCACTATAGAAAGCTACTTCTCATTGTATGCTCAATGTACCTTACAGTCTAAACTTTAAACAGGCTTCATAGTTGGGGGATGAGGAGGAGGAGTATGGTACAAAATGTTAAAATATCATAATAGTTTCAATGTACCAGTGCAGTAAACTAAGTCAGTAAACTAGATAGGAGTGCTGTGTTCCTGTCAGATTGCCTATTTAACCAACAGATAAGTATCAAGCTATCTCAGAGCACTGGTGTTACAGAGGCTAGATAACTTAGCTCAGAAATAATTTCAATCCCTATAAACCTAAATAAGGTTATAGATAACTAGATAACTAATAGATATAATAACTAGATAACAGATAACAGGTAACTAATAGATGCCAGGACAGAAGATTTACAAGATGGTGAAGGGAATAATCAAGAGTGTGGCATAACAAGAATGCACAGCAAACAGTTGTCATTTTAAAGTGCCTATAGTATACATAAAACCAGCAAATTCTCAGGAGATACAGACTTTATTGACTCATATGTTATGCATTATTTCTATTCACTTCTACTGTCTTCCTTCTTGTAATGTTAGTCAGACCAACTCACAGCAGTAAAATACTTAACACTTCTCATATATGTTTTATATCCTCTGCTCACATGAAAAGTTCACCCTCAGTGTCTTTGGAACAAATAATAAGTAAGTTGAGAGAATTGCTACAATAGTTCTCCCAAACCTGGTTTTGCTTCATAACACATAACTGTCAATGCTTGCTTAAGCCAAGAGGAACACCTAAATTAGCACTTCTAGCAAAAAATTTCTGAATGAGCTCTGGGATTTGATATTTCACTAGTAAGATCTTTCAAACATGAATGAAAATGCTAGAAACTTCTTTGAATATTTGTTATAAACTCAGCCCTGGAATAAAAGGGCCTGATATTCTAAAGTGAAAGCTATTCACATCAGTCTGGTGCTTGTTTTGCATTGTCATCAAGGTACAAAAGCCAGTCCCAGCCCTGCCCCTACTTGCACTGCAGGTCTTCTGAATAAATCTTTTGGACCTGCATATCTTGAATCCCTGTGACATTCTGTGGTCACTTACTTCAGCATAAAGCAAGCCCAAAATTATCATGATGGTCTTTGGTCCAAAAATGTGAAAAACAGCATCTACTCAAAATCACTGGAGCTGAAGAGATTTTTTTTTTAAAATTATGTCAGCTGCAATATACATATGAATTAACAATATTAGAGAAAGGAACATTCTAGAACTTGTTTCACTTCTTAAGCTATGCAAACATTTGTTCATGTTGATAAATTTAAGCTGAAAAGAATTCTTAGAAGCAAGACTGGGAAGGTAAAACACAAAAAATTTTTCTTCAACTCTGCCACAAATTTACTTCATAAATTTAGAAATGTACTTTAAAATGTAAGGCAAAACTAAGTGACCTCTAAAACAGATAAAATTTTTACCTATGAGGTGTGCTTTATGACTCTAAACTCTCAATTTTTTTAAGCAATTTACAATACTAATATGTTTATAATCTAAGAATATTAATACAAAGGTGTCACAGAAACAAAGATGAAGTATCAGTGCATCTAGAGAGTATATATTCATGAAGTTATTTCTACGTTCAAATTCACTGGTTTTATTTGTAAATACTGTTTGTAGCACATTGCTTTCTGTCCTTGTGATACGTCTTAATTGGCATTTGAATAAGATAAACCTGACGCTGCAACCCTCATTCATCATGATGTTAATTTCATTACTGCTATTAGAGAGAGCACAGTTCTGTCATTAAACATGGAAGAAGTTAAGAGACACCGTCAACATCACGTCCCTAAATCAATGCACAAATAACTTCCACTTACCTTCTGCATTGATCAGGCTCCTGGTGCCAAGCACCTCCCAGACCAGGAGAGGGAGCCCGTGGATCAAAAACAGACATTCATTCTTGAATCAATTTAAATCTAGAAATAAGGTCCTCAGCTTTGCAACATAGCAAATCAAAGGAATATTCTCTCATGAATATAAGAAAATTAGCCACATCCTTCAAAATGTGTGTTCTTATTCGCCTCTAGTTTTAGATGAGACAGAGGCAGCTAAGGAACTGTACAGATGAATATTAAAACCAGCTAACAAAATCTGAAACTTCCAGTGCAAGGTAGAATATTTATCAAGACCAATTTAACATAGAACTTGGAGCTAAGAAATAGATTATTCTGATTTTAAAAGTAACATCAGGTCCAGTAACAGGGAGTTTGATGGGAAATAACTTCTTAAATGAACCATATGTGACTCACAATTTTTTGTTTAACTGGTTTTCCAATCCATTTCTTTAATAATATTCCAGCACAATTGCTGCTACAGTGTTTAAGAGCCAGCTACAAACAAGTTCTGTGCCTTGGAGTACTCAAACCATCTACAATATTTATACATTCTCTCAAGCGTAGAAGTCAGGCCAAAAAAGAACTAGAGGTCTTCTATTACCTAAATGCCAACCATTTTTAAGGCAGGGGCACTTGGTAGTTCAGGCAAGGATCCAAACACTATTTTAATGCATACCACAAACACTATAAAGATCATCCTTCTTCCACGTAATTTTTAACACACACAATGCAGAAATTCGCAATATGTGGCTATCAATCAACAAACGAGGAGGAGAGGGCAGCACTGAAACAACTGTGATTTTGGATAAGATGAAACAGTCACTGTTCACAGGTATGTCAACATAAAGAGATTTGTAAGCATCGCCTTGTAAGTGATGCTTCTAAGCAGCAATCAATTCCCTTTTGATGAGGTGGGATTAAGCAATCCAAAGCAATGAGTTTTGACACTGCTATAAACAAAGCAAAGCAGAGTTCACGCATAACAGAATGGTGGAAAAAGATTTGTGGCTTACAAAAGAGAATTAAGGAACCAATATGGAAAAGGGAAGTGGAGGAGAAAGGGAGAACCCAAGAGTCTTCTGGTTTTACTCAAAAACACTGTCACTTAGCAGTGAAGACTAGTTACCCAGACCAAACCACTGGCAACATCTTAGCATCTAACTGATCAAATGAGGGAGCAAACCACTGTGTACCCTGCCAGTGCTGGAGAGCAAGTGTGATCTTACCAGTGGAAGTGGAAGATACAGGAGACACAGCAGCCAGGGACAACAACTGAACTGCAGGAGCTGGTATTTCACGGGTGACCTTCTAGCCCCGACTATCTTATCATGGTCCACCACTTCTCATTCCAAGCCTGGCGGCATGAGTTCTGCCTCTTCTACATTTTAACACTTTTTCTTTCCATTTTATGTTCCAAACCCTAAAAATAACCACCACTGTCATGGCAATCAAGCCCCAACTTAATATTGGAAATAAGCTTTTATTTAGCATTGAGGATGATTTGAAAAAACAAGACTAACTTTGCTTTCTCTACTGATAATTTGCTTCTCAGTGAGGTAACCATTCAACTTGCATGGTTTAACATCCTATTTTTTAAAAATTGAGTTCCGAACACAAGAATAATCTACAATTCTTAAATTTGGAATGGATTCAGTGTTTTCCAGGGATCGGTGTGGTTATGGTTTCTTCAAAGAAAATTCCAAAACCTACTGGGATTCTGCTGTTCCACACGGCAGCCCACTCTGGGCTCTTTTATTCTCTTACAAACAAGATAAAATGACCTTCTTATTTGAAACTTGCTATTCAGAATCAGGATCAGATTCTAATTTCATTTGTAGGGTAAGAAGTCTATTTATATAAAAATAACAGATTTACAATACATCAGGGTACTGAGGGCCAAATACCTGTACTGCCAGTTGATATGGTTACAATTTGACAGAAAGATATGAAAACACAACATGCTGTTCAAATCTCCATACCCAAGCATGATGTAGAAAACTTCCCAGCAAATGCAACACGAATGCACTGTGGGGTATTGCATTGCCTTAATTTTTTAATAGAAGAAAAAAGTTCGTGTTCTGCATCTGATTTTGCAAAGACTCATCATTCTCTGGTGTGCAAGGGAATAATTACTTTACGGTGAGCTTGACGCCACTTTACCAACACAATTAGTCATGTTGTCCTGTATTCTGCTTTGAAAGCAAAAACATCCCACATTACTGCCATGTCTTAGATGAGCAGCAGTGCAAATCTTTCCTAGCAGCTCTTTCCCAGTTGCTGACATAATTAATGAAGAACAGCATTCCCCTTTACACTACAAGTTTTGAATATACAAAGCTGCATATTACTGAAATAATGCTTTAACTCTTGTTAGATCTGATGATCCTCAAGAAAGGCGATGTTTTGGAGTTCAACAAGACAAAGAACATGCAGCCCATGGTATTATTCAGAGCAGAATGAAAAACAAGACCAGCATGCAAATGAGCTGCCTTTCCTTAGACAAGGTTTATGGAAATCAGGCTAAGCAATATGCAGAATTTTCAATTTTTTTTAATGTTAGGTCAATTTGATGAGCAAACAAAGTTTAGTAAAAAAGTGTCAGGAGAATGCATTTTTTTTCCTTTTAAAAAAAAGAAGGTTTTGTTGAAAAATGCCCTGGAATTTTAACTGAGAAGAGTTACAAGCTGGATGTAAAAAATGTTTGTTTTTTTTTTTCATTTTTCCTTTTAAGGATGTTCAAGATTTCTGTTCTGGTCTTCCTTGTTGCTGCGTAAAACATACTGCATTTAGTGAATCCTTGGCTGTGATGTACCATGGGAGACAATAGCTGTCTCAGGAACTGAACTTAATCAAGAGGAAGAGAATAATCACTGCAGAGTCATTTCCAAATCAGCAATCTCTTTCTGTTGAGTGAGATTTGGAGGTTTCAAATGTTCAGTTTTTCAACAAAAATCTGCTCCATTCTTGCAAAGCACACATACCTAATGACTTAGTCAAAAACCTAGGAGTTCTTTTCCTTTTCATTAGAGGAAAGTACATTACTGCTTTAGAAATGGCTCTTGAGAAGCAATGTAAGTTCC